AGGTCTTATGGTTCCTTCGGGTCAACTTCAAAATTTTCAGAACTTTCACCTATATAGATTTTATTCTAAAATTTCGCTTCACGGTAAACTTTCTTCATTCTCCTGCCCATCAATACCCGCAAAAGTGGACACTCAATCAGACAATTTGAATGTGAAATGAGGGCGAGCCACTTATTGGCCAAAAAAACAAAGAGCCCTGTGCTGGCATCCATTCAAGCATCTCGTTTTTGTGCTAAGTGATGCAAACCTTTCTGAAACTACTCGAAAAAAACCTCTGTTTATATGCAAAGTTGAATATGTCAATTTGAAATCAAAAAAGGAAAGGAAAGAAAGAAATGTGGTTTATAAACAAAAAGGAGAAGTTTTCAAAGGTTTGTGAGAAAGGATTCTAAAAATTTTATTTGTATCGCTAAAAAATTAAAGTTTTAGGTTGAGGTTATTAAAAAAATAGAACTTTTTTTAAAAAACGGGAATAATTTCGATTTCCTGCGCATGTTTGCAATAAAGTTGCTCTATGGACAACAAACACGCCATTTTTTTGTTTGATTTTTTTTTCTTTTTCTCTTTTTGTTTGTATTTTAATATTATGATTTGGTTTTCATTAGAGCTTTGTCACGATGATAATAAAAAAAAATGAAAAAACAGAAAAATTTTTATTATTTTTTTGTAGTTTAATTTCAAATGTTTTCTCTCATCTTTTTCATTTTTTTATTTCTGAATAAAATGCGAGCCAAAAAAACCATAGCACTAAATTTTAGAAGTAAGGCCTCATATAAAAATTATTGCTTGCTTTTTTGCACAAATTTGTTAAATATTTACCATCCCACTTCCTTTTGTTCATTTAAAAAAAAATGTTTTTCCCCGATTAGCCATCCGTCGAGAATCAAATTGAAACATCATTGGGCAATTTGGAGTTTGTTTTGAGTCCCGAGAGAGCCTTTTTCCTTCCGGTTGGTCCATCCGTCTTGCACTCTCCATCAAGTTTCCTCTCATTGTTCCTTTTGAGAGTTTCTTGAACCGCCTTTTCTCAAGACGAATGAGCTGCTGAGATGTTTCTGGTGGTTATCTGATGACAGACCAACTGGAAATCGGTTGGCACCTTCAAAAGGTGTTTTGACGCAATCTATTAGGCACCGATGAACGTCATCATAATTAAGATGTGCAGCCAAAAAAGTTCGGCGTGTGCCAAGGGACCACCCGCGTGGCTAATTGGCCGCTTCACGTCTGGAGAAACGTGCCGCCGCTTGGATAATTGTTTCCAAATATTAGAATCACTGTTTTCCGACGGCGTGAGTGTAGAGAAAGATAAACCTGTCAACAAAAATTGTTTCACTTATTCTACAAGTTTCACCAAGCAACAGCTCATTTATTAACAAAAATTGTTATTATTTTCTGTTTCGTCCTAAAATCACCATTTTTCTACTTTTTTTTTTAGTGAATCGGGAATAACTCTTAAAAGTTCCAGATCGCTTTTATAATTCATCCGCCACGGTCTATGAGCGCATTAATGAGGGTAGAGAGATCGCAGACAAGCCAGAACTTTTCAATTTCTGAATAATAAGGTATATTTTTTTCTGTCAACCCGCGCTCACTTCTTTTTTAAAATTAAAAGTTTTTCAACATTTATTGAACAAGTTGTGTATTCGTAATTTCTCAGTGATAACGGAAAACTTTTTTTTTTGAGATCTCCCGTTTTTCCGACAAATTTTGTATCGTAAACGAAAAAATAAGTTATTTCTCAAAAGCCTTCTGTATAGTTTTGATCAAAACCTTATTCAAATAAAAAAAGAAAGTTCTCATAGCCGGATTAGACGATAAAATCACGGCGCTCCTTGTGTGTGCCATCGGCGCTTCCGATGTCTCTGACGGCTCCTTTTTCGGCGACCGCAGAGATTTGGCGGATTTGCACCGAGGAGATATCGGAAACTGATCCACAGTGGAAATCGAGCCGCTTTGACAGCCTAATTGTCCTTTTTATCGATATCCACATCTTGAGAGGCGGCTGTTTTGAAGCTTGAAGAGGAAGAAGAACGGAAGTTCTTTTCAACTTTCCCTCAACGCTATTCAAGAAGACTTTTCATTTTATGAAAATTGAGGATTAACTATATTTTTGGTTTTTAACTCATACTGTGGTGCTACTACAGAAGCGCGCTTTTTTCAGATTTTTTCTCTGTTTTTTAACTCAATTTTTCAATAGAATAAAACAGATAGTTGGCACATTTTGATTGCTTACTGTCGTTATGATTCATTTCAACAAAGTTCTGAAAAAAATGGAAAAAAAAAACGCGCCCATGTCGTAGCACCATTTCTGCAGATTTTTAGACCGCTAGCAAACAAAAAAAAGAAAAATTCGGCGGTTCATATTTCTGGTAACGACCTACAGTACTGGCCATAAAGGTATTTCAAAGTGGTTATTCGAGCATAACTTCTTTGAAAGTGGTTCAAATGACTTGAAACTTTGCACAGATTTTTAAATAGCTACTCAGTAACTTTTTTTCCAGTAAGAAAAAAACTCATTTGCTAGAGTCAGACAGGATTTAAGAGCAAAAAAACCAAAAAAATCGTGAAAATGAAGATTTTTCTCTTGAGATTCAAAAAATCATATCTTCAAAGAAACGTCGATTTTGAATCAGAAACTTTTTGTCCCGGTAAAACAAGTCTTCGGCATTCCAAAAAACCTAATCAGGCCCTTACCAACCCGATAGTAAGAGCGTAGTGACTTTTTCTTCGGAAGGCCCTTGCGTTTTGACGCCTCGTAATTCAAATGGACTATACAAGGTCATTTTTGCTTGAGAACACCCTGTTTCATGTTGAAAAACTTCAAAACACCCTCAAGAATAGTTTTACACTGGTTTCTTAATCTTTCTCACTTTATCCTCTCTTTAGAACTCACTAACTTCACTAGGTCTGATTTTGAAACCTCTGATTTGAAGCGGTTATGCTCGTTTTTCAAAATCAGAACATTCTCGATTTCTCATGTCAGATTCCAAAGCTTTTTTAAAACCTTGATAAATAAAAATAAAAAAAGGCCCACTGTGTTTTGCTTACTTATTCAAAAGATATAGTGAGTTATAATGAGTTTCTCAAAGTTCTCAAAACCTCGTTTCAGCAAGTGTTGCTTAGAAGGCTCTAAATCTTGTGAAAAAAATGATAAAAAAACCTCTTTTTTTCATGTTTTTTTGAATGTTTTTACATCATGAGATAAATTTTTAAGTCCTCTTTCTAGCTCTCAGATCAAAGATAGGCACTGTAAAAAAAGTTTCTTTTAAATTTTATGGGAAAAATAAGTTTTTTTGGTCTTTTTGAAATTACTGCTTCAGCAAAAAAATTAGCAGTCTTCAGGAAGTAGGAGACTGCAATTTAGCTCATTATTTATTTTTCGAATTCACGATTGAAAAAGCGATTGATCAGATTAAAACTGCTTTGAATGCCCGAAAGTCCAGAAAAACTGTTCAAATCAGAGGTTTCAAAATTAGACCAAGTGAAGTTAGCGAGTTCTGGAGAGAGTATAAAGTGAGAAAGCTGAAGACATCAGTGTAAAACTCTTCTTGAGGGTGTTTTGAAGTTTTTCAACATGAAACAGGGTGTTCTCAAGCAAAAATGACCTTGTATAGTCCATTTGAATGAGGAGGCGTCAAAACGCATAGGCTTTCCAAAAAAAAAGTTACTACGCTCTTACTATCGGGTTGGTAAGGGGCTAATTAGGTTTTTTGGAAAGCCGAAGACTTGTTTTACCGGGGAAAAAAAGTTTCTGATTCAAAAATCGACGTTTCTTTGAAGATATGATTTTTTTGAATCTCAAGAGAAAAATCTTCATTTTCACGACTTTTGGTTTTTTGCTCTCAAATATTGTCTGACTCGAGCAAATGAGTTCTTTTCTTGGGAAAAAGTTTGTACGTAGCTATTTGAAATTTGTGCGAAGTTTCAAGTCATTGGAGCCACTTTCAAAGAAGTTATGCTCGAATAACCACTTTGAAATACCTTTATGGCCAGTACTGTAGGTATCCTCACAAAGATATCATGGCCATTTGAATGAGAAGAAGTGCCGAGGACACGGATTAATAATAGCCGTGTGTCCTGAGCGGCACGGTTGCGCAAAAGGTCCATACGGAGAAAGTGTATGCAGCCGAGCTTAAAAGGAGCCTGTTTCTCTTCCGGCGGCCCGACGCTCCAATTAAAGAGTAGATCGGATCTTCACGCGTGTTTCTTTGACGCAATCACACAAACACTCGGCTTGATCATTTCTCGCTTTGGCGGGTCCATCTTGCGTCATCTCGACAGTTTAATTTGTCCTCGTCCCCTCTTCGCTGCATAACTTTATTGCACCGATCATTGAGGGCTATTAAATATTTCATTACCGTTTTTAATATTCACATAAAAATTAAATACCTCTTTCCTTATCTTCCATATCTTTCCCAGTACAGCTGTTTCTCATCCTAGCGTTAAATCCAGGAAATAGGAGTCTCGTGCTAATCCAACAAAGAAATCGTCTTGACGCCTCCAATAAGAAGGACTTCACACCTTGAACGCTGGAACACGCTAATTTGATTATCTCGTGGAACGATCTATCTAGATTCGTGAAGATGTTCTCGTCTATTTTTATTTTTTTCTTCAACCAAGGTCGAAATTGCTGTCAATCAGTTCGTTCCGCTCTCGAGCTGAATTCAAAAATTATTTTGGCAGTGAAAAACTTGGCTTTTTTTGCTGAAGATTGGTTTTACACGATTCTGTGAAATAATTTTTTAAAATTTTCATTTCACGTATGAGCTAATTTTTCCTTCCAAATATTCGATCTGACAAAGGATATATCCTGCAGAAAACTGACGTTTCTATTCCGGCCGTGGCCAATTTTCTTTTGCATTATAAGAATTCAAAATTCAAAAATTTCCTTCACCAAGCCCCGCCCACTTTTCGGCTGTGCTTTTGATCTTGCTCAGTGACATCATGATTCATCCCCCTTGAACACAAACTTGACAAGAACCGACCGAAAGTACTGGTCGTTATGAGCCAGACGGCTGACTCGAGACGAAATCAATCAAGAAGCCGCTCGATGAGTATCGTCGGGAGCCGTCGGCGGCGGCGCCACGTGCCAGTCGCCCGAAGGTCGCCGCGACGGTTGGCTCGTCTCCAGCAAGTTGGCAGATACGCATCTTCGCTCGGAATAACAAATGGCTTACATGGCACCTTCGTTTAACTTCGAAACTCTTCACCGCGATTCTCATGAAGATTACGGTTGACAGGCGCGCCGTTCCGACCGTTTTTCACTCGTTCTAGTCGCTTTTTCTCTTTCTTCCTGTCATTCTTCGAGTCAGGGTCTATTACCTTCATTTCAATGGCATCTCATGAGAGGCTCAACTATGAAAATAGACAAGTTTTTGAGAAAAAAAGGTGATTTTCTCATAGTATGTTTGTGTGGAGGAACAGTTTGCATTTGTCTCAATACCGTGAAGTATCATTTTGTTGATACTTATTGATTCGTCGCCCTTTGGGCAGTTTTTGACACCTTAATTAGGTTAATTGCAAGGTGGCTGACTCCTCAATGACTGAACAGGAAATGACGAGGCTGTAGGGCAACGATGTTTGCAATTAATGTATCTTTTCGCACCTTCAAGTTAGGAAGATTGACAAAGTGGAAGAGGTACCGTAGATCATTTTCTTGAACGTTTTGAACCATGTGGTTCTTCATAAAGTTTATGGAAACAATGCTGTTCGAATAAGTTATTTTCTTGGACTGACCTGAGCCAAAAAACTTGGAGCCATAAAGCGGAAGGGCCCAAAGAAGCATCGACCAGAGGTTTTACGAGCCACGGCCAATTTGTCGAGAAGACCACCTGGAAAAGTTGCGGCCTCTCGGTCGGACAGGTGTTTGCTGAACTTGTAAACTTTCGGCTCGTTTGGTCCACGCGGCGGTAATTGCCGCATTCGATGCGCTGATAAAGCTCCAGACTTCTTGGCTTCTTGAAGTTTATGTTTCTAAGAAATTTTAAAGTAGAAGTAATTTTAAAAAAGGGGCTAATCCGTTTAACTCTCTGTAGATCTATTCAAGGAATACGAATTTTTGACCTTGAGCAAGATATTTTTGCACTGGAATAGAGCGGAAAACTCCGCAACTATTGAATTTTCCATTATCCAGCGTTTTCAAGAGCTCTCATCAAAGTTTTCCCAGACAAATTTGAAGCTTTTTTAAAAACATTTCGATGAAAACTTCTTTCTTCAAATTCAAAACTGCGACTGGCCAATCAAATTTCTTTCTTCAGACTTGGAAAAAAAATCAAAAGAGTTGAAAAAAAAGTTCAAGAGACAACTTTCATCTAAGTTTGTGAGATCCATGTCGAATGAAAAATCATTTTTTTCTGATTTATTGAGTTTCTCATCACTTTCTGTGATAAGATTACTTTGAAGTATTTCAACTGCGATTCTCAAATAGCATTTTTTTTTATGTATGTTCTCCTTTTTATCAGACTCTAAAAAGTTGATCTTTGTTTCTTTTTCGATTCGAAGACGCTGTGGTTGAATTCTCATGATTTTTATCACATCTCCTTCGATTTTTCTATCTTTCTGTCTTAGTTTACGCTCAATAATAAGTCGCTTGTCCTTAACCTGTGAAAAACAGGTGGCTCAACGGTGGAAGGCGAGGCCCTGCACCAAACCAGAGGACGAACCACCGGCCACGCCCCCTCCGAGGATCCGACTCCGCCCACCGGTGTTCCGTAGAAGACACTCACGCGGCCTCTCGAAGGAGTCGTTGGCGTTTATCAACATTATATTCAATTGGATCGGATGATGACGTGCCTGGCTGTCGTCATGGATGGGCCACGGGCCAAAAATGGACGACGATTATTCGAAAGCTTCGTCGAGCAGAACAAGCTCAGCTTCTGGAATCGGTCAGTTTTTTTTCCAAAACTTTCTCCTCTTTTTTTTATTTTCTCTTATTTGTTCCATTTTTCTAGTTGAATTTTGTATCGAATGTCAACTTTGAATGTCTGTAAGTATTTGAACTTCTCAGTCGTTTCGATATTATAATACCATTCGCTGCGATGCTCATTTTTTCTCCTCTTCTTTATCGAATTCCTTCACAAACTAACTTTCTCATTCACTGTAAATTTTCTTTTTTCTCAATCGACTTTTTTCCTCATTTCAGTAGAAAAATTTTTAAAAGTTGATCTATATAACAAAATTTATTCTTTTTGGTTTTTTTTTGTGAGAGGCTCCTTGATTATTGAATCATCTCGTTAACCTATTTACCAATTCTCATTATTTTTCTTTTTAGTTTAAGCTAATTTTCTGATATTATTGAGGTCAATTACGATTTTTTTTCCAAAGTTTTATTACTTCTTTTGCTGTTTTTTCGTCAATTTCTCATCAACTCTATTGAGACTGTTTTTTTGCTTCTATGAATGAATTCAAATTTTTTTCCCTTCTCTATTATTAATGTTATTCAAATTTTCTTCTCGCTTCTAGAAAGTTTTTGAATCCACATCCGTCCCTCTGACCCTTAACAAGCTGAAAAGCTTGAACTTTTTTTCAAATTATCAATATTTTTTCAATGCAAGCTTCAATAATCATTATTTATAAGCTATTTTTGTGCTGTTATTCTTCATCATATAGCCATTTTACAAGTGAAGCTCCCCAGAAACTCTCTTCAAATTCCAATTCCAGAGAGCTCGTTGCCGCGGCCGACGCTCTGATCTACATGGGATTCATGCGGCCGAGCACGATGTTCGTGTCGGCGAGCCACGCTCATCTGAAGACGTTGAAGGACGCCTGGGCGAGACGGATTCTGAAGCCGGCCGAGGGCTACGCCATCGCTTCTCTCGGTCAGTATTCCCTTCTTTCCTTGCTTTTTGTTCTGATCTTTGCCTGAGGCACCCCTCGCGCACCTGCTTCTTCAGGCGGGCCCTTTCGTTCTGGGGATTAGATTGGCGGTCCATAAAAGGGCCGCGGTGTGAAACGGCCTTTTGTTCTGGCCATGTACCCTTTCATCACTCCCTGTTAAAGGTATCCATTACCCGTCAAAAGTACGCCGAACGGCCAAATCCTTTTTGCGACAGATGGTTCATATGCGGCCAAACTATTTAGCTCTTTTCGCACTTTTTTGATTTGATTTTCAAATTTTTAGTAACGACACTTCAAAGACGTTCCGAAAAAGATCTTTTTTGGTTATTTGGAAGATTGGAGGTCGAAGTGTTTTCGTTGTTAAGTTAGATATTCTGTGCTTCTCAGGTCCCGAAACATTTTTTTTGTTTTTTCTTCTGGTTTTACTTTTTTCGTAACCAGTCAATATTGATAAGAATTCTTATTTCATCGAATATGCGAACAAGTTGAAGATAAAAATGAACTTGCTTAAAAACCAATTTATTTCGTGAAAAGAACAAGTTTAATTTCTTAGCGATTGTCATAATAACCTATTTTGGACTATTTCTCTTCTTTCATATTGAATTCTATTTGAAATGAATCTCGAAGAGTCAGAGAGAATACAATTTAATTTTTTATTTCACCTTTCTGCTCATTTTCTAAGCCATTTTTTTGCCTTCTAAAAAAAGAAAGTCGAAGTGAACCGTTTTTGGACCTTGTCACATTTCTGAACATTTTCCAAATTCAAAAAATGTCCAAAAAAGTACTCTTACCACGAAAACGCGACCTTTCCCCGCGGTAAAAGTCAGGCTCTGAGTCATAGAGAACCTCGGATCGTAGTACGCTACGCGCCATTTTCGGGATGCATTCCCAATTTGAACCATCGCCACTTGCTTCACATACCCATCAAAGGGAGCAAAATGTGCTCGACGAGCTCCCATTCGCTTCGAATGCACAAAAAAAAATATGGCGCAATTACTCATTCCGACGGCTGGCGGCGGTAGTCGAGGGCTTGGTGCGGGAAAAAGGGAGTCAAATCGACACCTTTTATTGTCTCATGTTTGTAATTTCCCATGGGAACACCTAGAACAATGGTATTCAGAGAAAATGAAGAAGAAAATTTTGGTTCTGAGATCTTAGCAAAGGCAACAGCTTCAATTTTTGAAAGGAAAAATTTTGATGTCGGTATTTTCAGTCTTTCTCTTCATTTGTTTATTTCAGTTAAAAGTTTCTATAAAAGCAAAGAAGATATTTGACCACGAGTAGATTCTAAAAGACCATCCGTCAAGAGAACAAGCGCGGGAGCATGTTGCCATAATTGGCGTGCGGCTGCGGAGTCACCTGGCCAGACTCCCATCGCCATCAATTAGGTTGTTCTGGCATGATACATGAGCTGCAACTCGTCTGTAGAGATGGTCGGATAGCACTCAAAAAAGGCATTTTTCTGGCAAGAACTGGGTTAATCTTCTTGAACGAGCAATATTATTTTTTCTTGTTGCTTTTGAGTTTGATTTACCTAAAAAGTAATTTCAGAATCGGAACTTTTTTTTGTAGAGATTTGTATTATTCCTGCCTTATGAAGTCTGAATATGAGTTATTGGTTCTTTCAGATTCTCGGTTAAAAGGTGGAAGTTGAAAGTATACATAGGACTGGCGTTTCCTTGAAAAGCGCAATTTTCGAGCTGTCCGAACCTGTTAACTCGAATTATTTTTAACATGAATTCGACTCGAAATCGATTTTTTTTATTGACTAGATGCATCATGAAGCTAACTTAGTTACAAAATTTCTAAAGGAAACCTAAAAAAAAATCCTAGAATACTACAACCACAAAAGGCGAATCTTTGTTTCTTTTGGTAAAGAGTCTTTAATAATTTAATTTCATTTCTGTATCTGTCAATAACCTCACGAATTTCAGGAGACCTCGGCGCAATCCAGCAAGTGGAACAGATGCATTTCGTGCCCCTGGGCGATGTTCTCTGCGACGCGATTGCGCAGCTCAACCGTTCCGGACAGCCGGCTACCGAAATGAGCGTCCGACAGTACGTCGCGAGGTACTGTCCGCACGTCGCCCCGCCAGGAATCGATATGGTTCGTCCTTTCTTCGATAAAGTTGGCCTTCTGGCGTTCACTTTCACGCCATGCTCTCAGAAAGGGATGAGAAAAGGCACGCTTTGGCGCGCCGGGGAGCCGAAGATGGCGTCTGGCGACTCGTTATTACTCGATTTGGGTTGCAGGTTAAACAGACGGTCATGTCCCTGGTCGCGACTGGACTCGTCTATCGCATGGGCGAACATCTTTTCGTCTCCGTCCCCACCAACACACCACCTAAGCATAAGGTGAAAAGAAAGAAGACTTGGGTTGAGAGAAAAGTCTTTACTTTTGCCTCGGAACTCCTAGAAGTAGATTTGGAAAAGAAAGAGAAACCGCTCCTTCAAAGAAACTTTTAACAAAAAACGACCTCTTAAAAATTAGGTTAAGTAATGCATGTCTCGCTGTGAAGAACTATGGTCAGTTTTCCTACATGGGAGGTTATATTTACATTTTTATTTCTGAAAAAGAGAAGTTTGGCCAATGAGCTTGCTGAATTGAAAACAAGCGAACTTTTGAGGATTCTTTGAACTCGAAAAAAACTTCCAGCTTAAATAATTTTATTTGGACAAGTTTTTTTGTTCCAGACGACAGTCGAATGCCAGACCGGTACTTCGATGATGGCTCCCCAGCCGGGAAAACGGCGAGGCTTTCTGGCCCGAATCTTCGCCCGAGGCGTCCGTCCGAGTCCGATGCCGCCAGTTCCGCATCCAGTCTCCTTCAGCCCTGAAGAATGCCTGGCGACGCTCCAACCGCATCGACCGCCAGCCATGCCGATCAAGAACAAGTGAGTTTTTTCAGTGATAGATAATGTCCAGTGTGATCCATCACACGATCCATTTCGCGAAAGTCAAACATTTCACGCGAAACTGTCAAGATAGACCTTTCCTTGCCGTCGGCTCGTTGCTGAACCTTGTTCCATCTGCTCGCACCATGGTTAATGGGTTAATAGTCTCTGAGTTTCACGTTTGTCAACAGGACGACATCTTGAGGTTAATTGATCAAACTGAGGTGCTAAGAGATCATGACGACAGGTTGTGACTTCCCAATGCAACAGTAATTGATGAATTAATTGAAAAGTTTTCATTTATAGGTACTTTTTTTGGTTGGAAATCCTCGCTTTCGAAGAAGTAAGAAAAAAACTCGATATCCTTTCTATTCTTATGAATAAAAAAATTTAATAAAAGTTTCTATAGTTTTGGCTGTGAGTTTTTTTGAGAATTAAAAAAACGGTTAAAAGGAAAAAAATTTATTATTTCTGTAAATGCGCATTTTGTTAGATACAAAAAAATAAATTTCACATATTTTTTTATCCCTTCTCACTGAAACGTATCAAAGATTGAAACGGGTTTTTTTAAAAAAATAATTTTCAGTTTTCGCTTTAAAAAAACATGAAATATGTGTCAAACAGGCTTTTCGGTAAATGCTTTCAAATGACATAGTTTTTAATGCATCAAATAAACTCTCAAAAAATGCTTAAAACTTTCTCGAGGGCCCTTGAACGGTTGTCCTCAGTGCGGATCGGCGTCGCTCAAATTACAGTGTATGGTTCTTTTTGGCTTGGCGTGGCGCGTCTATTAACGCCGAGCGAGCTCTTCGAAAAAAGAAAAGTTGCGCCACCGCACGATAATTGAAGTGTTGCGTAGTGGATGCGTCCCAATATGATACGCCGCTTACAATTATCGGCTTCTCGTTTTTCGCCTTTGATTGGCTCCGTATTGCGGTTGGACTTACCTTGAAAAGCGCTTCAAAAAGTTCATAAAACCTCAATAAAGCTTCGAAAAAATTCATTACGAATGATGTTTTTCAGATTTCCAACCTACCACGAGAATCTGGCGAGAGAGTCTCGACCGCCTCTTGAACAGCGCCGTCGCCGTCGCCGTGAGCCCAAACTTCTGAGCTCTTCTTCGGAATGCCTCAACTACGGACCCATCGACCCTCCCGAATACCTGCCAGCTGGTCGGTTGGAAGGTAAAACCATCTTTTCTTTTTTGGTACTGAATTAAAAGTTTTCAGTTGTTGATGACATAACGAAGAGAAGAAAAAGGGTGGCCAGAACGACCCAGGTCCGTCGCCGGGACACCATCGCCCGAACTTCCACGCCGATTGAAACCGATTCGGCCTATTCTCCGTCTCCTGTGCATTCCAATGAGGAGGCCGCCTCTCTCAGTGATCCGGAGATTTTCAAGGTTTGTCAGAAATTTTAACAAGACTTTTCAGAAAGGAAAAAGCGTCATAGACAAAGCGTCATAGAACGAAAAATTTTGATCAGAAAAACAATTTAGAACTTCGCAACTTTTTAATCTTTCGAAAACTATCGTTGTACACTCAAAATTACCCTAGAAGACTGAAACTGCAAAAGATCCTAAATTTTGAGTAACAATATTTCTGGCTGAAACTTTGAAAGATTCTTTTAGAAATAAAAAAGAAATTTGTAAAAACTTGGTCTATAATAATATTTTCAGATTAATCACGATGACGATCACACGTACATGAACCTGGTGCAGAACCACTATGAATCCACGCAGTTTGAAGATTTGACGGCGGCCCTCGCTGAAGACTTGGAACGAATTTCGATGCATGCGGCCGGAGTTCATGTCTCCAATTTATAAAGTTTTCTGCCTTTCTTAGTTAGTATTGTTGTTATGCTATAGTTATTTACGAGAGAAATTTCTATTGCCTTCAAAAGTGGAGCCTTTGTTTCGTCACGCCAATTGTACGCAACGCACATGTCCTCAAAAAACATGAGGCGAAATTTGAAACTCCCTCCATTTTCAATTTTTTTTACGTTTTAATCAAGTTGTCGCCAACTTCTCTTACTGGTGTTCTTTATTTTTACTATAATTGTTTTGATTGTTATCTTGTACCGAACTACGTCATGTTCCGAGCCAAAGCTTCTCGCATCTTTCATTTTTCGAGAGCTTTCAGTTCTTACTTTTCAATTGCTCTGTACACTGTCTTTTCAGTCAGTGCTCCAAGCAATTGGTTCACCTTTGGTTGTCAAATTGTGATATTCACGAATTCATAAAACATAAAAAAATTTGAAAACTGTTCCATTTTTTTACAGTTAAATTTTTTTCTGAAAATACTTTATCAGGCTTAATCTTCAAAGAAAAATCTTATAGGTTCTTAGAAGTTAAGGTTTTCTTTCTCTTTGTTCCGGACGTAATTTCATAACCGCAATCCCAAAATGTTGCGTGGGGGTTGACGTGACGTTGCATAGCGTGCAGAACGAATGTTTATGTCTGGCAGGTGCTGTCTTGAGGAAAATCACAGGTCGCTTGTTGGCAATTAATTTCCTTCTTAAGGCATCAGGTAGTACGGTCAACGGTGTTCAAATATAAGAAATTAGTTCCCGCATACCGAAAGTTTAGTTGTTGAGTTCATTTCGCCGCGTAAAGAAGTTATTTATAGCGAAACCTCGTACAGTTTTTCGTATTGAGGGCGACGGAGGCGATGATCATCGAAACGATTGCCCATTTTTGCAAACTTTCGTCGACCTCACGCTGTTTTCAAGGATTTTTACGATTATTTTATGAATTTTATTCTTTTAAAGTCACTGCTTCTAAGTTCTGAATTTAAATGCTGAACTTTTTCGAGTAGCTTTGGGCTTCCGATTTTTTTTATCAGAATATTGTTTTATTCTCATTGAAAAGATATTTTGTAGAGTTAGAAGGCGCTGGATGTAGTTTCAAATAGCTTAAAATAACACCTGAAAATTATTTTTTTTCAAATTTCAGGAAAGTTTTGAACAGATTTTGATGAAAAAATTGCGAAAATCCTTATATTCAGTAAGTTGAAGTAAATTAACTTCATCCTTTCTTTTATTTTCAAATATTCGAAGAAGTATTCATTCTTCCCACATAATCATTCTGGTCATGGGAGAAAAATATCGAAATTTTCAAGGAAAAAAGCCATTTTAATGGTTGATTTTTATTGTTATCGCTTTCCATATTTTCTTGGATTTCTGGTGTTTAATAATCTTCAATGTTTCGTAACTGGCTGTAAAAAAAAGGAAGCATGATCGGAGGTGTCAAGGTCCGCCGTAGTTAATCCGATTATTGATGGGTACAGTCTCTGTGAACTTCTGAAACATTTCGAGGCCATCTACGGATGACGCAAACAATCTGGCACCTTTTTCTCACCTTGGGATTATTTTTTGAAAATTTTAAAAGAAAATTTTATTGAGAAAAAATAGAAAAGACACAAAAAAAAGCAACGTTTTGTATTCAGCATGTAGTTTGATCTGCAGAAACTCATTCATTAAACTTTGATTCGCTCGGTCAGTGAGAAATGACGGATCGAAAATGCTCGGGCCATGGCCCAGGCGTTATCGGTTTGCCTTGTTCGCGGTCATGTAGACAGCCGAGCCCTCCAATTTGATGTATGGGGTGTTTGGCGAAAATGAGCCAGGACGTGAAGATCATTCCTCTGCCAATATCCTCGATGCGGGGGAAAAGACATGAAAAAGAAGCTTACGACCGGCCCGAATCGGCTTATGAAGCGACTCTTTACGCAAAACTTGCTGTTTTGCACCTTTGCTAGTTTTGGAGTGTATTTCCTGCGCTTTTCGAATTTTTACGATTATTTTCTGTTATCGAAACCGAGCCATTTTTATTATCTTGTTTAGGAAATGCCGATAGAATCACTGCCGGACCACTACGAGTGGTTCAGCGACCAAATCGCCGGCCATCATCCTTCCGTTATCAAAAATGGCCGCCGAGAAATTGGTTCGTTGAAAAAAAAAAACATAGAAAATGACAGTAGAGTTTTCAAAAGAAATAATATAAATAAGTTCTTGAAGAATTTAGCTCCAAACGAAAACAAAGAATGCTGAAAAGGCGAAAAATGTTTTAAAACGATTTTTATTAATCAATATTCAATTTTTGAAATTTTCCGTTGAAATTTTGTTTTTGAATTTCTCCTTTGCTCTAATCTTTGAAAAATATATTTAAAAAAATAAATGGAAAAGCGCGTGAGAAGAAGCACTATGAAAAAAATATTTTTTTTAAGTTTCTTTGTTTTTGAGAATTTTTCCGCGCAGTTCTGACTTTTTTTCGTTGAACGCTTCTCAAAGACCTGTTGCTCATTATAACTCTCATTTGCTAGCCTGACCGTATTGTGACATTCGATATGGCCGACTCTGTAGGTAACTAAATGGCAATGGCGGCGAGGCAACAGCTGTCCAGACCACCCCCGAAAAAAGTTAATAATCTCCTCGATTTGAAATTATTGCCGTGCACTTTTTGTTTCGAAATTGTCGGCAAGAGCTTTTTGGCGCCAAGCTCTTCGAATTAGTTCGATGGATTGATACTTTGATTTTATTCTGAAACGAATACGAGCTCAGCTTTCAAATGATTGATGCCATTTGTTTTGGAGGTGCGACTTTTGTTTGCACAGCTGGGTGTTACCGTCGGGACCCGCTTTTACGGTATAACTTTTACTTTTCAGGCCTGCTCAAGTTTCCCGGATCCAAGGAGATTCTGAAGCCGAAGCAGGATGCTGAAAGAGGCGACCGAGAGGTTTGCCTCATGAATTTTTCTGGCCACAGGGAAAAGCTATGAAATTACCAGTCTTCATGCATATTAACAAGGGGATGCACTAAAGGGGAAAATTGTCAATAATAAACATAAATAATTCAAATATCTGTGGGAGCTTCATCTTATTCAATTCGATAAAAATATATTTCAGAACAGTTTGGAAATCTGTTGAGATAGGATACATAAAAAAAAGGTGTTGAATATAAAAACTGTTCAAGAGGGGCGTTTAAAGGAGCGTAAAGGAAATTTTTGGAAATGATTTCCAGAAGGAAAGTCTTTTCAAGTGTTGTTTTAGGCCATACGGACGCTTTTATTTCTGAACTTTTAGAAACCCTAGAAAAGGTATTCGAAATAACTTTAGATACTCTAGGTGTTCATAAACCTTCCCGAGCGATTTTCAAATCAAATCATTTATTTTGTTGTTTTAGTCTGATGTAATCAACTAGGCGGTGAACAAGAACTTTTTAAGCTATAACGAACAACCGCCTTTGGCGAACTAGAAGTCCTAGGGTGTAGTCGTAAGAGTTGAAAGCATGGTCTTACGGTCCTTCGCCCCGTCCTTCTGCGCGTAGTCCATTCAGTTGCGCCTTGACGAGCTCAGAATGTAGTGGGTGGTGTAGCTGGAGCCCGGAGACCGTGCTCTAGGTGGAAGCCTCAGAAGGAGAGCGACCACTTCGAGTGAAGATTTTACACGGAATTTTATTATATTTTTTCCAAAGTTTTAGAACCTACTGCTCATTAAGTCTATTAATAGATAATAATCACATTTTTGTGATAAGAATATGATCTTCCAACAAAATCAGTAGTCAAGTAAGGACAAGGATGACGAGTTGCGCGAGCCATCGCTGGCAAACTTGACGGCATCAAGTTACGCAACCGTTTTTCCGGTTTCCCCACGTCTGACTGCATTTGAGGCGTGAACATCGAGCCGCCGGATGCGAGATAACGCCATATCCGACCTCAGCTCGGTCTCGAACCGTCTTCGTAGCCTTCAACTTGCTCTGGAAGAGCCAGAATCTGATGAAGGTTTTTGAGAGGACCGTCTTGGACTAACCAGGGAATGGTCTCCGGTCGTAGTGGGACCGAGTTTTCTAGATGTAGGTTTGATTTGAGAGCTATTCTCATGTCGAAAAGACCTACTTCTGAATTTAGTTCGTTAGTTCTTTTTCTAAGAGGGATTTAATTTTATTGGAAGCTTTAGAACTTTCTGGAACTTAGGCGAAACATTTAGACACACTGAATGAAGATTCTGTGAGTCGCAAAATTTTCTAGTTAGCGTCTTTCAAAGTTTTGTCTCGAATTAATAATATTTGATGAATCCTTGAAGCCCCATTTCTCAAAGTTAATTAGTTTTAGGGGCTTTCAAGATTTTTATCTGTAGTTCTGTCATTTTTGATCAAGTTCTAAATTCGTCAGTGAAGCGCTTTAATTTTTTCCACATTCTATGAATAATGTTTTGGATTTTAACTCTATAAATAAATTGAGAAAGTTACTTTCTTCAAAATATCGTTGAGCGGTTTTAAAAGTTGAATTAACGTAATTTAATGATTCGTTTAACATTCGCGGCTGCGCTCCCACTCCAATTACTGTACATTACGCAAGCCACAAAGCAACACTAAGATTTTATTATGGGTAAGCTGACACCCTGCTCCTCGTTTTGTTCCCACTATTGTTCCCGTAATTGACCGATTGCAACTAATTACATTAGTCGGAAAAGGTGAAGATTTCGGTGAGGACAAACATAATAACTTAACATTTTGAATAGTTTTTTTTAAGGAATCCCATAGTGGTCTTCATACGAGAAAAAACAGCCAATAAAAAAAGGCAAAAAGGTACCCTTTGTATGGGTAAAATTGAGGTGCTTCCTATAGGGGTTTAGGGTCTGGACCCTAAGCTCAAGTGGTCTACAGGGACTGCCAATTTTTCCGTTTAATTTTAAAGATTAAAAAAATCAAACATGGTATATTTTTTTCATCTTTTTTTATATTTTTTTCTTTCGGATAATTTATTGAGTTATCCGCATGAAAATTCTTCTTTTTTAACAATAAATGACTAGCACTCCTCCTATAGGGGCCATTAACTAGAACCCCTAAGGGACCACTTTTGCAATTATTTTGTTCGAAAACGGTTGCTGAGACGCCAACTTTTCTGCGGGGGTCATGAATATTATTTTCTTCGTCGTGAGCACCGGAGGAAAACCCAGAGTTGTTTGCCGATGAACCGACAGGAAACGACTTCTGATGCCAGATTACGCAACACGCCGCACTTGTCCTCATCACTTGTGAGAGACACTGGCTGAAGTGCTCAAGGACAGACGCATTAGGCAAGGCTTCCTCTCTCCTTATCTCGACTGTCTATCTTACCGGCTAAGCTAACGTTTTGTGCGGGTGTCACTCGTTTCTTTTCGTAATTGCGCAACTTTTGGATGGAGGTTTGAGGGAGACTGTAATGAAGGAAGTTTCCAAAAAAGGATGTTCTGATGAAACTATCAAAATAAAGGCTATGATTTTAATTATGATTTCAAAAAAGTAAAAATAGAAGTTATTCTTTTTTTTCGTAATCGCACGACTTCTGGTTCCAGGTTTGAGGGAGACTGTAATGGGTAAAAGTATCCAGGAAAAAAATTTTTACAAAAAGCGGAAAAAAAGAAATCTGGATCGCTGATAAAAATTGTTAAAAATTAATACTATTTTTTTCTGTTAAGAGAGTGATAATAGAAATTATTTCTGCGGTTGGGGGAATTAAACTTTGAAAAAAATGGAAGTAAAGCTTGTAGAAATGAGACCGTGTCATGTCAGAAATTGGAAACAGGAACATAATTTTTTTGTTGAACTTATTTTAAAAAAAGAGATTTAAACTTATAAGAAAACACATCTGAAGCTCTCGAAAAAACAAAACTTATAGTCCTTGGCTCTTTCAGTATTGTTGTTCGATTCCGCTCCGTTGATCATTTGGAAATCGGAGCACAACAGATTTTTAATGAGTGGAAGCTCCAGTTTCAGGACGATCTGATGGTTTACATCCTTACAGGTGGCACTTTACCAACTTCTCGCGGGTCCTTCGTGTCGATTGCGCAATTCGACTCGAAGCGCGACCAAGTCCTCCCTCGAGGAGGTTGATGATATGGCTGTCGGGGAATCGGCTTCGAATGCTTCGATCGCCTCGAGCAGTGTTGGCGAGGAAGAAAGGTAAGAAGAAAATCGAGCAGTTGATAAAAAGAAAGAAAAGTCTCGAAATCAGAATTTTTCCCTCTAGGGCGCTGCGAAACATTACTTTTTTTGAAGGGTCTTCAGAAACAAAATCTTTTTTTTCTATTAAAACCACGTGATCGATTAAAAAATAAAGTTCGAACTCCATCTGTAAAGCTTTCACTTTCAACGGTTTACTTGAAACTCACAAATTGTCCCGACTATAAAAACGCTCAAAAATTTTAATTTTGCGCCCGTTATAAATGCAAAAATAAACATAAAAATTTTGAAATTAATGCAAAAAAACAAGTTTTAATTAAAAAAGTTTTTTTAAAAGTTCCGTTCGAGTTTCTTTCTGTTATATTTTTTTCCATCCATTCAAAAATTAACTTCTTTCGAACTTGGGATCAAAGTTTTATTTGGGGCTCTCCGCATTATGCCGTTTGAAACTTGATGAATCGCTCTTTTGATTTCTTAACCTCAAACTATTTTTGAAAGTTACGTCTTTCTTGGATTCAAAATTGGATATATTTTTCAGTGTATCGGCCTACTTCGAAGAGGTGCGAGCAGATGACGTCGAAACGTTGCGCGAGTTGACTGTTAACTTCTACGGGCTTCAAATTTTACCCATCGATGGAGAAAGTGAGGGCTTACTTCTTCGAAATAACCTTTTTCTTTTGATAAGAATCCAGAAGAGTTATTGAAAGTTTTAAACTTGAAGGTCGTTGTGAATGACTTTCGTGGCGATCAATAGCCCTATATTGATAATTGCTGCTTTTCAGTACTTTCATTCTGAGTTATAACGAATTTTTCGATCTTATCTTTCTAATATGAACTAAAAAACATTTCTCTCAGCACAGTTGAGTTTTCGCTTTCGATTCGATTTCAAAAACACATGTTGATGGCGGTGGCGGAAATCGACGGCCAGATGGTTGGCGCTTGAAATTTAGCGGCGCCTTACGATGAGCTGTTTTTTTTTTCGCGTCTTAACTATCTAGGCGTTTTTAATTGGATGGGCCTGTGCGTAAATGAGAATCACAGTAAATGTCTCTCATTCGAAAAAATAACTCAGATTTCAGGGTTTTTGAACAAAACTTTGTTTTTTTAGCCCATGAGTTCATGATCCTGGAAGACGTGACGGCGTCGTACCGTCTGCCGGCGATTCTCGACGTCAAGATGGGCCTCGTCACTTATGATCCCAACGCTTCGGAGAGCAAAAAGACCAAGGAAACGGTCAAATATCCGCCGCAAGCCTTTTTGGGATGCAGGCTGCTGGGATATAGGGTAAGACCATTTTTCTGTCAGTGGAAAGAGCAAAAGAAAAATTTTTAAAAGTCATTTTTTAAGATTTTGGTCATTTGGAAAACATTTAAGCCTCTGTAAATACTGGAAAAGTTATTGCTGATAGTAGGGCCTTGGAGTTGAAAAACCCGAACTTTTTTTTTCAAAGACTACACATCAAGTGATCACTCAAGAGGTCTTAGCTTTTGTTAAGTGTATCTTTGAAAGTGGAGGAAGCGCATGCTTTGGACTCTTTGATTTATAGAAAACAGTCTCCCGATTTCTTTTGGAAGGATCAATGAACTATCCCGCAATAAAAGGCTTATGGGATTTTTTTAAGTCCAAAGTATTTTCAAAAAAACAAAGGAGAAGTTGCCAGAGGATTTCCCAAACCAAATCACGACGTTTAAAGCCAAAAAAACCAAACGGGCGTTTATGGTATTTCATTCTGTCTTTACAAGCATATATCCATCTGAGAAAAGATCCGTTGTTTTTTTGAATGCCAAAGTGTCCCGATACGGATTTATTGCGACCACTGACGTGTGCAGAAATGCGAACACATGCCGCCAGTCGTGACCGGCCGAATGTCTCAATTACCGGCGCTTCGGCACCTTCTGAAGGCGATCTCGGAGCGATTTAGTCGCGCGTAATTGAGCTCGCCACCTTTTCGGGGTAACTGCGGCTGAGGAATCTGGAGGATTTGGTTTGAGGGTTTTCCGAATAACTGAAGAAGCTAAGCTTACGTGTTAGTAGATCATTTATTTACTTTTTGGTCCGTTGAACCAAGAATCAGATCATTTGGATCGTGAAATTTTTTACCGAGAGGACCTGATCTGGAAGAGCCCTTTTTTAAGGGCCTTTCTGAGATTATTAGAGGGCTTTCAGGACTTTTCTCGAGTTCTGTTCAATCAAAAGAACTTACCGAACAACAAGAAGACTTGAGCCGGACTGACTTCAAAAAAATTTCCTGCGTTCGAAGTCTTTATTAATTCCGCTTATGCCTCTTTAAGCAATCCATCACTTTTTTGAATTGAGAAACGTCGTCTGAGAACCACCTGTTGCAAAAATGTCTCCGACGATGATTAGCACTCCAGAAAAGCAACCGAGAAGGTCAATTTCGGTGACCGCAATATCCGGTTCCTAAATGAGTGCAACATGTCGACAGACGCAACTGAGCCGGGCATAAAGAGCGCAGGTCAATGGGCCGAAGTGGCTTCCACTCCGAAATCCTCCATTGTTCCACCCAAGTGCCGATGATTGTGCGTCGGATCGCGCATATGCTCATTAACCCCATAAGTGATGCCGCTTTTCAAATTTTAATCGTATGGAACTTATTGGATTAATTATGCGCAGCTTGAGCTTTTTGAAATTTTGCTCAAGTACTTTTCGATGAAGTTGATTAAAATTCTGAAAGGGTCAGCCTGCAAAAATTTCTAATTTCGATATCACACACCTGAAAAATTTCACGATTTTTATAGTGGATTTTTCAATTTTGAAACTTTGACACTATCTGAATCGAGAAGCTCAAAAGCTTTTCCCAGCAACTTCCTTGTTTTTATCCACACCCACTTTATCTTCCCATGAGAAGAGAATTTGAATATGTACAAGATGACACCTGGGCTTAAAGCCGGCACACTCTATGCCGGGCGATTAGTATCACATTTCACAGGGGTTAACACGGTGCACGACCGGCGGAGTTTGTGATGAGCCGCTTGGCCGTCGGCTTCTTCCCATCTTTTTCGCGACACAGGGATTTGCGCTTTTACGGTGGTCGTATAGTGGAGAGTATCTGGCGCTCCGCAGAGGCTCAATTTACCGCCTCTTGTAACAGGTGGATTTGAATGAGACATTTGTATCGCTCACCAGTAACACGGGTTCGTAAATCTATGATTTGTCAGTTGAGGACTTTATAAAAGCCCTTGGAAGAACTTCCGATAGGGCTAGAATATTTAGAATATTTCATAGTTTTTAAGATAGTAGTCGCATCGAAGCAAAAACTGTGTATTGGATTATTTTTAAAGCTGAAATAGACATAAATTCAAAAACAGCAGGAGGAGGATTTCAAAATTAAGTTAGGATATCTAAAATTACATTTTGAAAATAAAAAAGTCATAAAAGGTTGATGTTATTGAATGGAAGGAGCCTCACGACTGTCAGGTTTTTTTTTATGATGATGAGCTTTTTTTAATTCAAAAACCACTTCAGTCCTCTGCAGAGTTCAGGGATAGCATTAAGAATATTTGAATCAGCCTCTTCGGATCGTATAACTTGTTTTTTAAAATTAAGCCTATTTTTTGAAGGAAATAAGAAAAATCCTTGAGCCTTTTCAGTGCGAAATGTGGGTGAAAAATTACATGTCTTCAATTTTCTCTCAGAAATGATTGACGAAGATTGAAACTGTTATAGACTCAATTTTCAAACCGAAAAAGGTGGACTGAACGTGACACAGACCATTTTCATGGACCATTGCACAAGACAGTATACTTTAATGTTCTTCCAAGCACCTGAACATCATTACTGATGATGGGTCTCTTTGTGTGGTTTGAATCTTCAAAAGATTTGAAAAAAGGTCGAAGAAGGGATTTTTTTTTTGAACTTACCTTGATGGGCGCTAGTCCAATATTACATCAAAGATCATTTCAATCTTCAAATTCTGAAGACAAGGCTGTGGCTTTAATTCATTTTTTTCTGTTCCATCTTCGGAAAATTGTCCATTGGTCATTCGGAAAAACATCAGGCTAAAGAGCGGCTCAAAAAAAAAGCCGCGGTAAGCGATTTTATCTTCGCTGTCAAATGATCCGCGTCTGACGGAAGTAGTCGCCGCCGCAGCGTTTCTTGCCAATTATCTGGCCACCGAGTCGGTGTGAAACCGATAAGCGCCAAGAATTGCGCAACGTCTTCAGTGAGGGTCTTCTTGGAGGACAATTCTAAGTTCTGAAAAAAACTGAGGCTTCCAACTAGTAGATAGTGTTTTACCTCCTAGTCGTAGCAATTCCAGAAATAGCGGCATCTTTTATGAAATTCAGATGGAGACCGTAAGCTTTGAAGTATTATCCATTGAAGTTCGTAGCACGCAGAAGAGCCTACAAATAAAAAGTTTGAAGTTTCTCGGTTACTTCTAAACTTTGAATATCATATAAAATTTGAACTTCTGTTTTATTTTTACTATTCTTTTTCAGATACATGCGGCTCCCGGCCAAGTCGTAGTGAGAGACAAAGATTGGGGAAAGTCCTTCGACGAAAAAACCTTCCCAAATGGTGAGATTCACGTTTTCTTCTTCCATAATTCGAACCTCAACTCTAGAATTCACGAGATAAAGCACCAAAAAATGTTCCTCTACTATTTTAGGTTTGCGAGAGTTTTTCTCCGGACGCTCAGGAGCCCCTGACCAAAACCAAGCCATGAGAGAAGTCGTCCATGAAGCGATCACAGCGTTGGAGCCTATCCGTCAGTTCTTCAAAGATCAACGCTCCTTCCAGTTCTTCGCTTCCTCGCTTCTCTTCGTCTACGAGGCCGACATCACAAAGCCCATCAGAATGCGCATTGTCATGATTGGTTGGTTTATTCCATTTGATTTCCACAAGAATCTTATTTCAGACTTTTCCCACGCTTTCTCCTCTTCCGGAAAGCCTGACGAGAACTACCTAGCCGGATTAGAGAAATTGAACCAAGAACTTGAGAATTTTCTCGTATGATGAAATATCTGTAAGCTGAAGTCCTGAGATGCTCATGACAACTTTTTGGCCTCTCTCCTCTCTTTCCATAGATTTTATAATATTTGAAATTGCTTGCCCGGCACATTCCTTTATGACTTCGTTCTACGGTTTTCACCCTATTTCGATCAAAAAAAAATTGCATTCTCGGTTGTTTAAAGGAGCATAAGCAATTTTTAAAGCTAAAAAATTGGAGCCAACCCTTATTTTTGCCCCTTTGAGCAACCTAGAAAGTTTTCTCGAGTAGACTATGTATCTTCCAAAGCATATTATATTAGGGGACCGCAAATCATATTCTGGGATATCAGATCAAACTTTTTTTTTTGTGAGAAATTATTATAAAAATTGAAATTTTGGGCCTTTTTAAACACCCTTGTAGGCGATTTTTCCGAAACTCATGAGATTGTCGATTTTGGAACTCATCGAAAACGCCGCTTTCTTTCAACTTCATCAAGCAAGAAAGCTAGGGTAAACAGACATACAAAAAACATAGCGGTAATGAAGGAAGGTGTGTTCTGCCGTGTAGTGGTTGCACAACCGATTATCTGAACGGTGACCCCTCTTCTCGCCTCCCAAATTGAATAGGACGGAAGCGAGGGACAAATAAGCTTTTGTTGGTATTACGTGTGTGGAATGGGGAGGCTTAACGATGCTCGTACACACAGCCACCTGCCAACAAACCACGGCGATCGGAAAAAGTCCAAAATATTCATTCACGGGAGAGAAGTGGTTTTAGGAGATCCGAATGTCGATTCGTAACATGTCAAGAGGTCAATGTGAGCAAGTGAAGAGTAGGACCCAGTTAAAAATAAGATTAAAATGAGTTTTCGCGAAACAAATGTCATTTCAGAAAAACGCATTTACTTTTTTTTTGTCAGTTTGTGCGTTGCAGCTGAAGATAAAGTTGACAAAAAATAAAATGAATTTTCGAGATTTCGTGGACCTAAAGAAATGTCCCCACTAATGAGTTTGTTCCGCGAAAGGCCTTGGTTCAAGAATTGTTAGAATAGAATACATGAAGATGAAAGTTAGAAGTCGTGCTCGAACATGTGCCAGTTGACTTCGAGCTTGGAGAGGTCCAAAGTGCAGACCATGCGGCTCTGCGAGAACTTCGGAAGACAGATGCAGAGGCAACGGCGGCCTTCCCCGAGGTCCACCCAGCGACTCTCGGCTCGTGGCTGATTGCCGCAGATCAGCACGTGCGGTGTCGACTCCATGAACAGCGCATCTCTGAATTCAACTTATTGCAAAGTCTGAGAAGTTTTTTTTCGAAGTTTGTTCAGAGTTTTGTAACAAAAGACGTCTCGTGGGTTACAAAAGAACAGCAGAGAAAAGACTACCGTAGACACAGCTTTTGGCTGCTCCACGGTACTGCAAAAAAGACTGGAAAAAAAAACGAAGATCTTGAAGTTTGGGAAAACTTGGTGGAAATGGTAAACGGTCTTTTTGCAGAAAGACGAAAAACGGAAAATGGTTTTTTTTTAAGAAAAGAGATTTCTACAACTTTTATGTATGTGCCACTATTTTTCAAGGCGTACAATTTTTCAATTTAAAAATTCTTGGACAAAGAATGAACCTATGAGTCATGGGGAATCCATCCAAAGTGTCTGGACAGGTTGGAGCGATGTGTTGCCACTTCAAAATGTTCTCCAGAACGTCACAGCCGGTCCATTCAAGTGACATTCTCAGCAAATCGCTGACATTTTCACCTGAAAACAATAACCTTGAAAAAAATAAAAGAATAGAAGTCACCTGAGGTACAGAGGAAACGTACGCCACCTAACTCGAACTCGTAAGGATTGGTCACTAGATTGACTTTTTTGGCCGTATGAGCTGTCCGAGGCAAAGTTGCTCTGAATAGGAAAACTGAGCTTTATGAAATTTGCCCGAATTTTATTGTTTGGCCTTTATAATTCGTTCTAAAAAAAATTCTCCTAATAGGATCATTTTTCAAGTTATGACAGTTCAAAAATCACTAGGTAACGCTTTTTTTCTTCATTTTTTCTCATCCCTCGAAAAAAAAATCTGTTACAAAAATGTTGTATTATCTGATATTAGAAGTTTCTTAAGTACATTTCAGCCAACAGCTGATTGTCTGAACGCTCAACTTCCTAACTTTACCATCCAAAAAAAAAAAGAGATTTCGACGATCAACTCTTCATTTAATCCATCATTCAGCAGAGAGTCTTCTGAAGTCTTGATAAAATTGTAAACTTTCAAACTAAATTACCACGTATAAACCTCGAGAAACTCTCCATTTTTTTTTGAGCACAAGTAGTCCTTTGTGAACAGACTATACCTATGAATAGGCTGCTGCGGGTAGAGACTGGGACAAGGGTCGCCCAATCCGGAGGCGACGTCGACCTGGACCTTCTCCGCCAGCCCGCAGAAAAGGCGATCCAGGGCGCTCAGAGCTTGGAACGACGTCTTCTTCTCGGATTTCGTCAGAGTCAGCATCTTGACCACCGAATAGACATCATGAGCCTTCAAATTTCAAGTTTTTGAAGGAAAAGAAAATTGAAAGAGTTCTGACAACAGTGCGAAAACTTTAATATTTTCAAAATGACCTGACGACACTCGATCGACTGTCCCAAGACGACGAGTCGGTCGACTTCGTTCTGCAGCCGTTCGTTGCCGTTCACCATGTCGGCGTCGTTTTTCAGCCAATCCGAGAGCATTTGGAACGACGAAATCGTCTTGATCTGACAATAAAGGGAGATGATAACCGAGTTCATTTCACTGACGTCATCGTTGATGATTCCAGTCAGCTCGAGGCCGCTGGTGAAGGCGACGTTGACGGAAGGGCGATTTGCGGACAGAGCGGGTTGAGGCGCTTGCATCGGCCACACCACTTGCTTCACCGTGAAGACGTCGCCTTCTTCCTGAATCACGCAAATTAACTGGTTATTATATTTTGATTTGAGTGAAATGTTGGCTTTCAGGATTCTCTAAAACTCCTGAACAAGCATTTAGACTTACTCACAGCTTTGCGACATATCTACAAGATGTTAAAAACAAATCGTTTATAATAATCTAAAAAGGCTCTTTGATGAAAGTTCGCCAGAATACTTCTGAATTTACTAAAAAAAAAAAAAAAAGTAGACCCTGAAAGTCTGAAACTGCAAAACTTTCAAGTTTCCGAGAAAAGAGAGCTCAAATTCTCAAAATAACCTATTTCAACTGGTTTCGTGGGTATTCTTATACTTTGAGATGTCTTTCCTAGGAAAATAGGAAGTTGTGCCGGTTGACTCTTTCGGGATCTTCATATGTTACATCTAAAAGTGTTCTGGCCAATCTTCAGGTAATTTCCAACCGCAAAGTGAAACTATCTCCCTTTTAAGATAGGCCGCACAACCAAGGGAAGCTCAAAATACTTTATCAGCTTTTAAGAAACCGGAACTCTACTAATCTCTTCGATAAACCTTAAATATAATGCTCTCAGAACGAATTCTCTAATTTTTCAGCTTTTCAACTACGATTTCGTCCGCCATTAAAGCTTCAGTTAACTAAGGACCTTTATTGTGAAGTTTCTTTCTAGTTAAATACACAAAAACACATTTTTTTTGAAGTTTTTGTAAACGGGTATTCATGATCTCATTATTCATCAATACTCCAATAAAAGTTTCTCGAGTCACACAGAAAAAAAGTTTATAAAAAAATCATTATTGTTTTTTTATGATTCGTATTAAAAAAATATCATTGAAACGTACTCGATGGCCGAAAAAGCCCGACACAGCAACCCGTAGCGCAGTCGTCCATTTTTATATTTCCCTGAATTTTTGTCTTGAAAAAAGAAACGATTAATGTTGAGTAACTGCAAGTTTGACAATTTGCTGATCGGATTCAAGCTCCAAATAATCTTCGTCACTGATAAGACATCGGAGATCCGTATTCGGCTCGTCTTCCTCATCATAATTCGCGTAAGCGGCTCTTTCTTCGTTGATGAGCGCCTATAAAATCGTTAAAAAATACGAAAATCAAATAATTTCAATTAAAAAAAAATGATATTTCGGAGCCGGGAAATCTTTCGGAGGTCATTTGAGAATGGTAAGAAAAAAAAATGGAGCTTCTTAGAAGGATCAAAAAAAAAAAGATAGAAAGGCTTTTTTTTGTGCATATTGTTTCACATCGGTTTTTCGTTCTTCTCACGGTTTTAAGGGAAAAAAAAACAATAAATAACAGCTGGCAAACAGAAAGTGTTCTACTTAGAAGCAATACTGCGGCGAGAGCCGTGCTATATCGCGAAAAATCGAGGCGATATCGTCAGCGAATACCATGTCGTATCGCGAAACCGCTGTTTACCTTGCGTGTGGTACTACATTACATTAACCAGAAATACTTCAATATAAAGGATAAATCCGTTACCGAATAAGGTCATCGTCTTTAATTTCGTCTTAACTCTGTTCAAAAACCTATGTCTAGTTGGCAGTCACGTGAAGAAAAAATAACGAAACGTGAATTTTTACGAAATGAAGATAGTGTAATCAAATCTAGTTACGGTTGGAGATTCAGAAAAATCAATCAGAACTCTATTTGAGATTTTTACTTTGAGTAAAAACTCATGATTTAACATTTAAAAATAAAACACCTGTCATCCAAAAATGTTTTCTTTCATTTCCCACCTTGAGAACCCCCGGCCTCTGGGTCAACCTCTTTACGATGACGCCGATGACGAGAACTTCTTCGAGGGGCGCGATGTCGTTCATCGACCGGAAGCTGTACTTCCCCTTGCCTGGAAGTCAGAAGAGGCCTCGAGAATATGGTCGTCGACGTACCGATAAAGCGATCGGCGTTTTCGAGAATTCTTTGCTTGGTCGCCCAAATGCGCGCCTCGTAGAAGGAGTGGTACTGACGGTCGAAGGCGTTCCTCTTGTCTTTCTCTGTCAGATGGAACTGCGCCGAGCAGTTTCTGTAGGGAGCCCTGGCGGTCCAGTCGTCGTCTTTGAACGTCATCTTCTGCGTTCCTTCGTCAGTTTCCATCCTCACGTCTTCGGTTATCAGACGCTTCGCCATTCTATTGACAAGAAAGGTTACTTGGATTCTACATATTCTTGTAATTGACTTCGGGTCAAACGTGGGCAGGTAAAAATTGAATTTGGTCCTGGGAAGGCTTACCAAGATTTTCAAAAAAGGTGTATAATGCCGTGTTCAATTTGATTCCGATAAATGCAAAATGATCTCTGACTCTCCAAATCTAGTGCTCTTTTCTTTTCTCTAACGGGTATTTTGCATTTCGCGGATTCAAATTGAACACGGCATAACTTTCATTTTATGGAGATGGTGTTGACGAATTTTAACTTTGAGGGGCAGTTTTGACTTTGAAATTAAAAGCGAAAGTGTTTTCGAAAGACATACATCGATTATTTCTTCTTTACTCAAAATTTATGAGATAATGATGTTCTTGGCCGCAAGAACTTTTTTTAAAAGTACTTTTTTGAACAAAGAGCTAATTTCCTTCCTGACGAATCTTTGAACAAAAGTATAGATGAACAAATACAATTCCACAGAATCAACAATTGGAAAATAATTAATTTATTCACATCATAAAACACTCAGACCATCCATCATTACTCCGGAAATACCAGCCCAAAAGGAGGACAAAATGACCATAAATCGAACAATACACATTATAGGACAAAGAACTCTTCGCAAAAAAAAAAAGGATAAAACAAAGAAATATGGAAAAAGTCTGTGGTGGAGGTGCTATCACAAGAAGCTTGGCATTCAATAGAAGTTCGACTTTTTTATTATACCTCTCATCTAAAGAACTAAAATATCAATACCTACAGAGATTTCCGAGTAAATCCATGGGACTCTACAGAAGGAAAAAAGGCATTTTTCTCTTTTCTACGACCGGTAAGTGGGATAGAAGAGGCGTACTATTACAAGCTTATTAAAAAGTAGAAAAGAAATTTAGAGGGAGCGGAAGAAGATGAAATAATTTAGTGGAAAAGAAAAGTTTTTGGTTTAGGATAGAAGATTGCGGATTTCGCGGTGGATGTAGCACAAAAAGTCGACGTAGGACATGCTCGTCGGCGAGGCTTTGTCCTGGAATATCATATTTTTTTGAATGAGCATTCGAAATCCCGCACGATTCTTTTTGTTTAAGAAAAAAATTTTTTTCATTATTTATAAAGAAACCTCTCAATCTGCATCAACTATAAATTTTTCAATTTAAAAAGAACTTTTGACGATGTTACTTTTTTCGAACTTTTAGATGGATAAAAGCTCACCTCGACGAGGAATTTCTTCATCCAGGGCTCCAAGGCGCTCTTTTCGCAGATGACGAAGGTTCTTCGGGTGCGAATCGCCTTGGGAAGCAACTGAATGAGGCGTCGAAGAGCCCTTGACCTCGCGTTGTCTTTCTCAGGAATCACGTGCTGAAACTCCCTTTCATTTGGTTTTCATTTCAAGAACTACCGATTCGGGATTGATCATAGCGACGCTGTCGACCCCGAAGACGTCGCGGACCCAGTCTGCGGGAACGCCGAGGCCGATCCACAAGAACAGCACGACGCCGTTGTCAATCACGAACGCCTGAAAAGTGGCTGGATGTCATTTCAGTTTTCGGGGAAACTGTTTGAAAATTTATTTGGAAAACAATTTAATGTTTGCGATTATTTCATAATCTCAGACAGGAAGATGTTTCCCTGAGGTTAAAAAAACCGAAATTTTTCTGAACAATGAACACTGCACCATTCTGAGAATACTTTAGTAAGAACAAAAAAAATTGGAAAAAAAAACCAAAAGTTTGTAGAAACTGGATGAATCTAGAAGATCAAGAGGAGAGAATAAAAACCTTGGAATTTTCCAGGTATTCAGAACTGGCGCGGATCGGAGCAGGCAGAGCGGTCAGTTCGGATGGTTCCTGGATTTGAAGATCCGAGACGGGGTAGATCCTGTTTGATAGTTGATTGGTTTGAATAATGATTAGCGACACCTCGGGTAGATGAGCGGCATGGCGTCTTCGACGCGAATCGCTCTGATCAACTCCATCTGCCAGACTTTGTCGTCAACCGTCATTTCACTGCCTTAAAAAATTTGAAAGTTCGGAAGTTTCCAAGGAAATATTTGAAGTTTTAACAATTTTTAAGCTTGCAAGAAAAGCTTTTGAAAAGCGGGAAGAATTTTTTTGAAAGTCTAAAAGAAAATTTTACTCAGTCTTCAGATAGGATCGTCTGCGAAATCATGAAATTCCCTACCTGTAGAGGCAAGTTTTACTCAGAACGTCAACTGGAGAAACAGTGGGAGTTTCCTGATTTTCTGAACTACCTTTTTCTAATTATTACACAATTTTTGTTTCGAACCAATTCTACAAAAACTTAAATCCCTGAACAAAGAAGAAATTGAACTTTCTCAAATTTTCCTCAAATACTTTTTCGAGAAAACAAACCTCCACTGATTGCGTCGTTCTTGATGATGGAGTTGATATAAAGCGGCATCAATTTGAGCGTTTCCGGCAAGATAAGTTGTCCCAAAGGCGCAGATTCGCTGCACTTTTCTCTGAATCAAAATTTTATTGGGATTAAAAAGAGATTAGACAAACCGGTAAGTAGCCAAGATCTGAGCACACTTTTGGGCCAAGTGGTCGCGCATTTCCTTGTTGCCTTTCTCCCGATTTATTTGGACAGCTGAAAAACTTATTTCATACAATGTTTTAATGGATGATAGAAACGTTCGAAGTCTTAATTGATGTTAGAAAATGATTTTTGAAAATTTTTTAAAAGAAATGAAGCTATTTTTTTTAATGAAAATCCATAGCAAGAAACTAACGCTCATTGTCTTTTTTGAGAAACAAAAATTGATTATTCAAGCGAGACAACAAAGTTCAAACCTTGCTTAAGCAATAGAGAAGTCAAAGCGTCAGGATCAGCGACTCGGTAAAGCTGATTGTAATCATTCGAAACGGGAAGACAGAGATTCAAAATTCGAAGCCGCCGTTGACCCGTTGTGGAAGTGTACAGAACTGCGGTCTAGAAAATGGATTCGGTTGGAAAAACCATTGGAATCTACCAAAAAAAAATTATGTTAACCTCTTTTGAAAATTTTTATACAGTTCATGTCGACTTTTTCTTTTTTGTTTTTTAAACAAAGAAATATGACGGCCAATTCAAAAAAAAAACCTGAATGACGGCCGAAGGATCGGAAAGCTTATCGTCGTACTTGAGCTCAGCGAAGAAAGACTGAAAAGGGATAGTTATTTCTCAGCAAAGACATTTTTCGACCTTGCTCTCATCGAGTGAAGCGATTTCCAAGTCGGTGGCGTTTTCCATGAAGAACGAGCCATAGAAGGTGACTGGTCGAATTCCTGGAAAAAAATTATAATTATGAGAAGAAAGGGGGAAATTAAAAGCGGATTCCGCAACCGAGCAGGGACAAACGATGAAGAAAAAAAGAAAAAAATAGGAAAAAAATACTAACCGGCCGATGACCTGACTCGCACCATACAATCGAAACCAATCTTCTTTGAAACGTGTTGCTGAAGCTCGTTCAAAAGCCGAATTCCGTCTTTTTCACCCTGAGAACAAATTTCTCGTTTTTGAGTTTGTCCGTTTTAATTACGGCGAACGAACGCAAGGATTTATGATTTTTAAGATTATGAAAAGAAAAAAATCTTGGTTTTCTTCAAAGACCCAAGTATCTTGATAATCCCAGGACAAGAAAAAAACAAAGCCTTTTATCTTATCAATTCCTACTTTTTACAAACTATTTATTGCTCAATTACGAGCATTATTTTCAAAAAACCCGCTAAAACTGATCTATAGCTTAAAATACGAGTAAACACTGAATCGTCGAAAAATTTGAAAAAAAAAAAATGAAACTTCAAGAAAAACTTAAAACTGAGTAAAAAGAATACTTATTATGAATTCTCGTTCATTCCACGGAATAAGGAAAAAACAAACGTTTCAAAAAGAAAAAAAAACTTTCTCTGCAAAAACAAAGACAACTTGAATGCGAATAAATGCACGTTTTCAAGGGACATATCATAGTTAAAGAAAAAATAAAACAAACCGAAAAATACTGATATTTGAAGACGCTTCCGCCCGTAACTGCTGACAATTGGCCGATGGTCGCGACGTCGATGAAAGCATTGGGGAACAAGAAAAGATCAACCTGAAGATCACTTTTTTGGATATACAGGTGGAAAGAATGGTACCGTGACGCCGTTTTTTACACATGTTTCGCCCAATTTCGTGTAGGTCTCGTCCTGGGGAACCAAGGCCGTCTTTTCCTTGTCGGTTCCCAATAAATTGCGCTCGTTCTTTGATTTGAGCTTTCCTGGGGCTTCGAAAGCAGGGATCGATGTCGTGAACAGCAAAAGCTTTCCGGCACGGTCAGCGCACTGGAAATTGATTTTTGAAGATAAAATGAGTGATACTCGACTGATTATGTTCAATGATTCTGAAAACCCCGAAAAACCGATACTTGGTGGTTACACGGATGTTGTATCGGTACATTGAAGGGAAATGGAAAACTTTGTGAAGTTTGATTAATTATTCTTTAAAAAAAATTTGAAGCCTTTTTGTTGAATTCATCAATTTTTTACATCTGCACAAATCATTATTTCCAAGTTCTTCAATCGATTCAAAATCCAAACCTTGAGAGCATCGACTCCAGCTTGAACAACGGGAAACAGAATTGTTTCAGTCGTTCGCGATGGGGCGAAAATGCGTGGGATCTCTGCCAAAGCAGTTCTGAGGCCGTTCAGAGCCTCGGAATAAGGCAAAAGAAGGCCATCGACCAGTGGGACGAACGGTTCTTGAATATCGTCTGGAATGAAAATTAGAAATGAGAAAAAATCGGTAATGGTCTTACTCATAACCAGCATTTTTGGTTGGGCGGAAGAAAGATCAAAGAAGTGGATGACCTGGTCAAAAGTGGCTAGACCGATCCGAATCGACGATTCCGGCTGTCCGAGTTCTCTGAAATAAGCATGAATCAGTTCAGTTCTTATGAAAACTGGTCTAGGTGACGTTATTCGTAGTTTCCAAGGTAATGATATTATTGGCAAATTTCGAACAAATTTTCTCTTTCGCATCTTTTCTTAGAAAATTCCTTCCTCTCCCCAACAGAAAAAGAAAAAAACTTCTACAGAAGCAAAAAAATTATGAATAAATTTTCAAAATACAAACTGGAAAAAACTGCTACTGAACAGCCAAACGAACTATGCCGATTTTTTAAAATAGGATTATTTTTTTAATTCGAAAAAAATCGTACTTTGGCAAGGCCTGGAGGATCCTCTCAAGGTTCTGACACAAAATCTGGACGAGGCCACAAGACATGGCGTTGTAGGAGACGTCGACCATGAAAATGAAGGCCGGTTCTTTGGGCGGCAGGCCATTCTGAACATTTTCCATTCAAAAAACTTCTGAAAATGGATAAAAACCTTGCAATACTGCTTCGTGGCGACAAACTCATAGGCTCCAAGGAAAAGTTCAGGTCGCATTTCGATGTCCGTCCGTCTTCCGGTATGATCCAAATGAGCAAAGTAGGAGTCTTCCACTGAAAAAAAGCAATAAAAATCGAGTTCCTTAAGAATTGGAGGTTGAAAATTAAAACTCACCAGGAGTACTGGCATGGCAAAACGGGCATCGGAATCTTCTGCCACCGTCTTGGAACTCCATGAAAGGACAAATGTAGGCCTTGCAGCGTTGGCAACGGATCGGACCTTGCGGGCCGAGGTCCACAACTGGAGGAGGTCGCTGGAAAACTAACATTTAAAAAGCTCTAAAAAAGGGAAAAAACAAGGAATACTTTTATCAGATGATAAATACCTCATTCTCGGTCAAGGCGGCGAAAGGAGCAATCGACAAGGCGAACGGAATTTGGGAGGTTTTCAGAAGGTCGTTCGTCTGTGGAGCAATGTACATGGTCGATCGCATGAACTTCGGATTGCAATTTCCTAAAAAAAAAAAAACTTTTACGGCTCAGAAGCAAGTTCAAAGTTTTTCAAATCGTTGAAAATCTGAATCGAAAAATTGTTTCAAATGTGGGGAATACCATGTGAGTAAGAACTAAAATACTGAAAGCCGACATATGACTAAAAATTCATTTTTTGAACAACGAGGACAAAAAAAGGCGGTAAAACTTAATTATTGCAGTAAACTCAAACTGAAAGAACTTTATTTCGGAACTGACCTTGATCCTGGGAGAAAATCTGAGTGGAAACGAGCGGTGGCGGCTCGGCATGAGGATATCCGGTCGGGAAGAGTCCTTCTCTCACTCGATCGTCTTCAATAACTTGAACCTAGAAATCGAAAGATATTTAAATTCCAGTGAGAAAAAACTAACAGCGCTTGGCATCAGATTAGGATCAAGACGCTGTGGCGCTCGTTGTTGTTGCGGCGGTCCAGGATAACCGGGAGCTGCGCCAGGTTGGCCTGGGCCTGGAGCAAAACCTCCGGGACCCGGTGGAAAGCCTGGACCAGAAGGAAAGCCGCCAGGAGCCTGAGGACCAGGAGGAAAACCTGCAGGTGCTTGAGAACCAGGATAGCCACCTGGAGCTTGAGGACCGGGAGGAAATCCGCTTGGAGCTTGAGGACCAGATGGAAAGCCGCTTGGGGCTTGAGGACCAGGTGGAAAGCCGCTTGGGGCTTGAGGACCAGGCGGAAAGCCGCTAGGAACTTGAGGGCCTGGCGGAAAGCCACTTGGAGCTTGAGGACCTGGTGGAAAGCCTCCAGGAGCACCTGGCCCAGGTGGATAGCCGGTCGGACCTTGAGGACCAGGAGTGAAAACGGAAGGAGCTTGAGAACTTGGCGGAAAACCACTGGGAGGTGTAGGACCCGGAGCAAAGCCGACTGGAGCCGTAGGACCATTGGGAGGAGCTGGACCAGGCGTGAAGCTGCTAGGAGCTGGTTGATTAGGAGGAAATCCGTTAGAAGCAGCAGGGCCGTGCGGTAAATCACTTGAAGATGCAGGACCAGGAGGAAAGCCGCTCGGAGCAGTGGGACCGTTTGAAGTAGCTGGACCAGGTGGAAAACCTGATGGCGCACCATACTGGCCTGCTTGATTGATAGCTCCTTGCTGAGGTCCTGAAAGTGACGGCGCTGACAATCGGGGTGGATTTTGTCCGACATCAGGCGTTTGAGGCACAGAAGGTGGTTGCGGAGTGAACGAAGGACCTGGTGGGAAGCCAGAAGGAGGTCCAGGCTGAGTATTTTGCGGAGGTTGTGCAGAAGGTGCTGCAGCTCCGTACGACTGCGCTTGAGGATACGGCGAAGGTGAAGGATTCGTTGGGACTTGTGGAGCTCCATATTGAGGTTGAGACTGTCCTGGGAATGGAGATGGCGCTGGAACTTTGGAAAAACCGGGCGTTGGAGCGGGTATTTGTGGTGCTGAGGCTAATGGCTTAACTGGTCCTGGAGCAAAGCCTTGCGCCGGCGGTTGACCGTACGAATTCTGCTGGAGTTGCGGCGGATAGCCGTTGCCATTTGGAACCGGCGGCTGATGGCTTGGAAAGCCGTTCTGAACAGCTTGCGGCGGCTGCTGTCCTGGCTGTGACGGGAAGCCTGGATATCCGCCTGGCATCGGAGGTTGACCTGCAAATTCCGTTTTGTTTTTGGCATTAAATGAATGGCAATCACAACACAGGGTGCAGAAACTGTGCTCAGTTGAGAAACTAAAAAAAGATCCTTAAATTTCGACAATGATTCAAAAGTTACTTTCGAAAGAGCCAAACTTAAAAAACATTCGATTCCAACATTTTCGCTCCTTTTTCTATGCGGAATCTCAAGAAGTTTGTAATCTTCAGAAACTACTCTACAGAATGAAACAGCCGACCCAGAAGAAAATAGGAAAAAGAAGAAAAAAAGAACTCTATCCAATCAAAATGCGCATTGAATCAGCGAAAATTCTCAAATTGCCTAGCTGTAGTTTCCAGAAAAGTTTATCCAAAAAATTGAAGTGAAAGATCAGCAAAAAAAAAGTTGTTTCCAATTAATTTAGAACTAAAAATTAATACCACTCCAAACACTATAAAAACAATTTTCTAAAATTCTATAAAATGTACAAATTACTTGAAATGAATCTACCTTGATTTTGTGGTGCAAACCCATTGTGCTGCGGCGGCTGCTGTGGTCCTTGCGAATAAAACTGTGGAGTACCACCAGGGTGAGAGGCATACTGGGGCTGTTGGTATGCCATCTGAAATAATGCCCTTCTTAGAATCACAACAAAGTTTTATAACGAGCAAAAAACATTACTGCGTTGAACTATATAGCAGAATCAGAAATTCATAATTTACAGAAACATTGAACCCAATTGTATAAAAAAAAGAAAGGAAGCACATTTTACAGTGAAAAAACTCAAAAAATGGATTAATTTGTGATTTTATCTAGTATCCAAGTCACCTAACATGTCTTGAGTTTCCCTTTACAAAATGAAAAACGATAAAAAGGAAATTATCTCTAATGAAAATAAATAAATGTTGGCGTTTTCCAAAGTTCCATGTCACTGCTTTCGGGGACCGTAGTGATTCATTGGAGCGCACTTGCTCACACGAAACTCCAGTTGACACAGCGATGGTACGACAAAATCTCAAGTCCGCAAATCTCGAGGACCGTAATCTTGTGTACGCAGATCTATAATCTTGGAAACCAAAATCTTGGAGACCAAAATCTTGGAAACCACAATCTTGGAAAGCAAAAATCTTCCTTTTTAGTCTTCTTTATTGCACTTTATCTACTTATATTCTCTCGTTTGGATCACCGAATACAATTTCTGATAAAATCTATTCGCAAAAAGCGTTGATTTTTTTACTTTCCAAGATTGTGGTTTCCAAGATTTTTGGTCTCCAAGATTTTGGTTTCCAAGATTATGGGACTTTAGATCTGCGTACACAAGATTACGGTCCTCGAGATTTGCGGACTTGAGATTTTGTCGTACCATCGACACAGCGGCTTTTTGTTCTTCGAAATTTGAAAATAAAAAAAGTATTTTATTTTACTAATAAATTTTCAAATACTTTCAAAGTAAACAGGTTCAAAGTAATTCCAAGAACGAAAAAAATGAACAACCCCAGATTTTTTTCTACGGAAAGGAAAGTAAGATTGGTAAACTTTCACTCGGGATGTTCAAATCAAAATTTAAAACTTGATTAATATAAAACTTGAGAAAAAAATACATATCTTGAATTCCAAATGAAATTTTTATATGAGTTTTTTTTAATATTTACCATGAGTTTATGTTTCAAAAATTTTAGAGTTGTTTGATCGGCGTAGTGTCTATTTCTGGTTGGAAAAAAAATTGAAAGAAAACAGATTCTTTTTTGTGAACTATATAACTGATCTCAGCTGAGAAGCCGGCGCTTTAAGGGTACAGAACCAGAGTAGGTCTGATTAAAGACGAAACCTTTTCTTATTCGCGGTGAAAAAATTTCATAGCTTAGAAGAACTTCACAGAGAGGTGTAATTATTTGTTTGTTTTGAAATTTTTCTGAAAAAAAGGCTCACAATACTTAATCTTCATAATTCTGATTACGCACTTTGATGTAAATTCGTCAAGTAGTCTGGTAGACAAGAAAAGGGTTTTCAGCCGCGAAAAAAGGGTCTCTGAGGAGGATTTATCGGCTTTACTTAGGGACCGCAAGCCATTTCTTCAGAACGATTCAAAAAATATGTTTTTCACATTGTTCGATAGAAGAGACTGTCCATTTTCATAATCCGTTTAGTTTTTTGAAAAAAGCTCCACTAAGAAAAAAGTTATGGCCAAAAAACGAGCGCGCGCGGCGTACAACTGGAGGCAAAATCTCACGGTTTACCCGCTGCCGCACGCTTTCTTTTTAATTGTTTTTGCGCGTTTCTGAACCGTTTTCGAATCGGTTTTCTGTTCTGAGAGGTTGTCAGAACTGAGCTTAACGTTTTGGTATGAAATCTTTTTGTATAACTATCATAAGAATTTTTTTGATAAAATATCAAAAAAACTACTTAGAAAAAGGTTAGAAGGAATTTTTCAGCTTATTTTTTTCTCTTTTTCTAATCAGAAAAAAATTATTATCATTCGGTTTGGAAGAAAGAAAAAAATGAAAAAAATGATGTCATTTCGAAATAAAACAGGAAAAAAAGTGCAATTTGACTCCGAAAAAAACGGCTCCTGCAACATTTAATATGGGCACATCGGTGTGTTTGACGCAAACACAGCTACGAACGCTTGCACGAAATTCTTCCAAAATTACAAAAAAATTGCCATTTTTTTCGAGGTTTTTCAAAGCCGTTATTTTTTTCGCGTCGATCGATTTTTTCATAATTTTTTTTCATTGATAGAGTTTTTGAACGCTTAATAACATAAGCAAAAAGTATAGACGCGATCCTATTCTCTCATGCGTCAACGAGGCAGGCGAAAAAAAGGAGGTTTTGGTAAAACTCAAATATAACTTGATTCGCTGTCCCAATAATTATTTTCATTTTGAATTCTTATTTTTTTGGACACACTGTTAGTTTTTAAATCAAATAAAAAAAGTATACCATGTCGCTGAAATTTTTTTTCGCATTTCAGCTTCAAAGTTTGGTGTCACTTTACAAGCTTTTAATAATTTTTTTCGCGTCGATAGATTTTTTTCATTTTTTTACTCAAAAAAATAGAGAAAGTGTTAATGTATAACATACTCAAAATTCGGAAGCGTTCCTCACTTGGTTTTCAGAAACGCGACGATTTTGTGAAACTTGTCAGTTTTTTTCGTGTTAAATCTTACTTTTTCGCTTATTTTTGAAAAATACATAGTTTAAAAATTTTTCAGTCTTGTAGAGCGTTGTCGATTACATAGATTAACAGAAACAGTTCATTTTTAAAGTGGGACTTTAGCTAGTATAAACGCCTCGAAACCGTTTTTGCAACAAAAAAATCGTCATTTTGGTGGCATGAAGGGGCGGGGCTTTGCGCCCCCTAGCTTTTACTCGAAGTTTTCGGGACTCTCACCTATTTTATCAGATGTATCATAATTCCTCAAAGAAGTTTTTCTTTTCATTTTTCACCGTCTTTATATCTTTATTCATGAGTGGAAAACGTAGAGGACAGGATTCCGTTGGAAAGAACGATAATCCGAGGCTCCCTGCTGCGAGGCGCCACAAATTGCGCAACCTACGGCTCGGGTTTTTCCTTATTAGCGCATTTCCTGCTAGTCCGGCTTTGCTCTCACTCATAGGCGTCAAAGTGTTCTCTAAGAGAATTACTTTAGTTCTTTCTTTTTTTTCCTTTTTTCTTGGTTGCGGCGGTTCGAATAGCACAGAGAACGATACAAAAGACTGCGTTTGTTTTGATACACGATGCACTCGAATGGTTCGATTTTCCGTAATCCTATCGCCTCCTCTTTATTTTTATGGTGGTCTAGTTTCAAGTGAAGTTTTTTTTCATTTCTTTATTCTCATTTAGGTACTGGTAAATTTATTTTTTTACGCCCAACTTTTGCTTTAAACGGATTTTGATAACTTCCTTATTTTTTTTAGGTCTGTTCGAAATAACCTCTTACGTTTTTAAAAAGCACAAACGGGAGCGTATGGTCTGAATATCATTGCTGCATTATTTTTTTTTATTATACCATACTCTTCAGAACCTCTCAGCAAGGATTTATCTGAAATTATGAACAAAAATAGAAGAAGCGAAAGTGAACTTCCAAAAATATATCCACCAGAAAAAAATTTTAAACAAAGTTTCTGCACTTTTCATGGCTTCGCTCCTCCTTTTTTTTAATATCCAAAGGGTCTCTGATCATGTTTCTTTTTGCTTTTAGTTAATTTATTCGTTAGTTTATACAAATCGAATTTTTCGAACGTTTCTTAGCCCTAACCCAATTACTTCCTCCAGTTCAATAGAGTGCTTCATCTACTCTCTCGCTCTCTCATCCGCTCTCTTTCTTTGTAAATCCCAAGGTCTTTTTTTCGAACGGGAAATAGCATGTTTATCCAATCAGGAGCCGCTGCCGAGAAGCATCATCGCCCTCATCCGACATAAATCCCGGGTAAACGACCGCCCAATAGTTTAATGTCCTCAAAAAACAGCCGGTGGCAGCTTCTCTGCCTCAAACCACATGGGCAAGTAAATGAGTGCCCAAGGCGGTCATAAGCTTTCAGTTTCCGCTCCTTTTTTCGCCCTTCCTTGTCCTCCGAGTGCTCTCATAAGCTTCTGTCAAATTTCAAAGTGCACTTTTTGTTTTTCAACGTATTTTTGCGGAGGAGGTTTCTGGCATGTGTTTCTTTTTTTTTCCAGAAAAGTCGTAAACATTTTGACTTTAACCATTTTTCATCTTTATTGCTTCGTTTGAAACTTTTTTGTGATCTTCGTTTGAAACTTTATTGCTTATCGAATAGAGCTTTTCGGTATTTTAGATTTATTCTATTAACCGCTAGCTTGGAAAAATAATATCATATAGATTTTTGAGCTTACTTTTTGTACAATATTTTCTAATTATGTCAAGGCTACAAATATTTTAACAAGCCAGCGTTCAATGGAGTTTATGAATATTTTTGCAAAGTATACTCGCCTCTAAGCTTTTACATGAATGAATATAGGTATTAGAAAGAAAACATTAATAAAAAAAAACATTTTACTCGAAATTTTGAAGTTCACCAGTGATTGTCTAAACTGCTTATGTAATTCTTTTTAGAAAACATATTTTAAAGATGTTTTTTATCGTACAGCGACCATGAAAAAAGATCTTCCAGACTTTCGTTTCTCAAAAAAAAAATATTTAGTTCGGCAGGCTGAAGTATTTTTTCCTCTTTGGTCAGTCGTTATTAAACCAAGTTTCGAGAATAATTTGCTGTTGAAAAGGAGGTGTTATCTTTGTGAGACCTGAGTTATCGGCTCAAGGAGCGATTTGGCAAGAAGGAACGTCGTAATCGCTTGACAAGTCCCTTCCTCCTGTCACACAGTGATGCTCATAACGAGCCGAAGGGACGTCGGGCCGTTCCTTTCAAGTTTTTCGAGTGTGCCGCCCATATTGGACAATGTCCGGATACAATGCAACATTTCCTCCTTACCTCGGCTTTTATTCCAGTTCCTTCCGCCGCATTGTCTTGTTCGGGATTTCCCCAATTTTACAACCTATTCTTTTGCTCCGTCTTGGGTTTTGTTTTGAATATTCATCAGACAAAGATCGAGCTTGTCATTGCCCTTTTTGTTGCGTCTTTATGAATTACAACATTGCTCCT